GATAGTAGTCCAGGGTCGTCCCGCCCGTCGAGCGCTCAAGCTAGGACTTACAGTAGCATGTGATAAATTCAGAGTCATGATGAAAACATGTTGCCCGAGTCCATGCGAAAGAAAACACGCTCTAATAGAATTCTGCGGTATTGCCAATGATCTTGCTCTTGCACAGCTTCTGGTATGTTGTTATAAAAAAGATAGACTGAACATGATCGACTCACATCAAAAAGCTCTCAGGCGGGGAGTCGAACCCCGGTCGCCTGCGAGTGTTGAAGCCAAGCCCAAGGCTTTGCTGCTTGACAAGCAGGAATCTTGACCGTTGGACCACCTAAGACTGCAAGCGAACCTCCAATGCAAGATTATGGACTCTCTGAATTTCTGTTGACGTACAAGGACGGAATCGCATAGTAGGGTAGGTAAATACATCAACCAGCTCTTGAATTGAGAAGCAATTGTCAGTTCACAATTCATGGGGTGAATATTAGTGGTAAGAACAAAGTACTCAGATATGGCTCAGCCGCTCAAGCGTGTTGCACTTACTTTGCGCCGCTGTCATGATCGGCTTTACTTCCGAATCGAAACCCTCAGTTCTGCGTTTGCTTCGTTCCCCAACAGTCAGCTCTCGAATGATGGGATACTCGTCAAGGTGGGACCAAACTTTGAAACCACCTCCTCCCCACGTCGGTAAGGACGATCTAAAACACAACGCATGCAAGCAAAGCAAAGCTCATCCTTGTCCGTTGATTACTTTCTGCTTGCGCTTTCTCGACGTTACACCTGAAAATCATCACAAGAACGGAGAGAGGATTCAGCATTGTCGGAATACCATAAATTGCACACCTCTTCCCGCTCAAATGTCCTGCGCGACGAAGTGGAACCTGCCCAAGTAACGCATCACCGTCGTTCTTTCGAGCAAACAACGGATTTGGAACGAAGTCGCACCTATGACAATCACTCTGCGGGAACGGCAACGTTCGAGAGAGCAGATGTGTGTTGGCGCCGACCGTTACATCTTGAGGCCGGCTAGGCTCACCTGGACCGCAGGATGGCAACTCTAGCGCGCGATCCGTCCATCGCTCTCGACATAGAGATGATAGACATTCAGTGGGTTCGCTCTCCGTGCGTACCACCCACTGGCCGATCGTTTTTTTCTTCCATTAGCGTCAACGAAGTGCAAGCCCGCAGCGCTCTGTAAGCTACTTTCCTCAGAGCTCGAGGCTTCAAAAGTAACTATACAAATTCGCAGCGCCACTACGCTCGGTCTTCAGGCCACGGCAGAAGCAGGAGCCGAAGCTCAGAGAGCTATCTCCCTCGGGACCACTCCATTGTGCGACGCCATCTTTCCCAGCCTATCTCCTCTGACCTCGCAAGGTGCTGTCACGCAACCCAACAACCTATCCGACTCATCTAGGATCGTGAATCATACCGGGATAAACGCGACCACGACCGTTCTAAACGCAGAGACCACAAGCGCAGAGACAAGGATGAAGATGGTTCCGACGAGGATCGCAAGCGTCGTAAACGGAGGAAGGAGCGGGAACGAGCTAAGGATGGCGACAAAGAAGAGAGAAGGAGCGCTCTGACTGGCAAGAAGGTCGGTCATTTCCGTTCCATGCTGGTCGTCCTGCGATTCTATGCTGATGCTTGAGGCTCTCACAGATCAAGCTCAAAGTGAAGAAGGAAAAGGGTGACGACGAACGCGATGCAAACCGCAAGGACTTGCTCAACTTCCTTAATGCTATGTAGCTTGCTCTCGTTATAAGTAATACTGGGAAACTACTCTGAGGCGCGATCAAGGAAGTGACCCAACATCACCAAAGTGACCAAAGTTTGACCACTTGCCGTGACGACGCGCTTCAAGGCGGACGGTCGCTACTTTCACGCGTTTTCTGGGCCGTTGCCCATCTTCTCTCTCCTCCATCATGGACTCCGATCTCATCAAGCTCGTGAACAAGCTCCAGGACACATTCAGCAACCTGGGTATGCTCAGCCACTCGCTTGCCTCATCGTGGAGCATTGAACATTTTACGCGTAGGGGGTGAGCTGGACATGCCCCAGCTCGTCGTTGTGAGTGCAAACTGACATAGGAGTCGTTTCGGCTTTCTCATTTGGAGGACAGGTGGGCAGTCAATCGGCGGGAAAGTCTAGCGTACTCGAGACGTGTGTGGTTCTCTTTCCCGCTTTGTCCTGCCTTTCGCTTACCTTTGCTAGTATCGTCGGGCGAGATTTCCTTCCTCGTGGTCAGGGCATTGTTACACGGCGACCTCTCGTTCTTCAGTTGATCCACCGACCCGAATCCACCGACCCCTCCCCCAGCAGCCCGACATTTCGCGAATGGGGCCAGTTCCTTCACATCGACAAGAAGTTCACCGACTTCAATGAGATTCGGAAAGAGATTGAGCAGGAGACTTTGCGGGTGGCGGGCTTGAATAAGGGGGTCAGCAAGTTGCCAATATCGCTCCGCATTTACAGCCCGGACGTGCTGGACCTGACTCTGGTTGATTTGCCCGGGCTGACGAAAGTGAGTCTTTGTGCCTTTTTCATACAGTTCAAGTTCTTCATGACGCGTCGGAAGATTCCTGTCGGTGACCAGCCGAGCGACATCGAGCGACAAATTCGCAACCTGGTATTAGAATACATTTCGAAGCCGAATAGGTACCGCCGTCCATTTTTCAAGAGATGCAACGGCTCGAATGACTTTCCAGTGTCATTCTGTCCGTCTCTCCTGCCAATGTGGATCTCGCCAACTCGGAGTCGCTCAAGCTCGCACGTCAAGTTGACCCCCAAGGAAGGAGGACGATCGGAGTCCTGACGAAGCTCGACCTGATGGACGCTGGGACAAATGCGCTCGATATTCTGACGGGGCGTGTCTACCCTTTGAAGCTCGGGTTCATCGGGATCGTGAACAGGAGTCAGCAAGACATCAACTCGGAGAAAAGTATGGGTGACGCGCTAAACAGCGAGTCCGAGTTCTTCAAGAGCCACCCTGCATACCGGAACGTGGCACACAAGAATGGGACGAAGTATCTGGCGAAGTCTCTCAACCAGGTCTGCCTTTCCGCGTCACATTATACTCTCCACATTAACAAGGCACCATTCAGGTCTTGATGAATCATATACGAGACAAGCTTCCGGATATGAAAGCGCGTCTCAACACGTTAATGGGACAGGCACAACAAGAGCTTAATTCGTTCGGGGACTCGGAGAGTTTCGGGGATCAAAACCAAGTCTGTTGTCTATGATCGCTGCTTGATATCTGCTGATAGTGTCTACTGCAGCAAGGCGCTCTTATTCTTCGTCTCATGACCCAGTTTGCGCGAGACTTTGTCGCCTCAATTGAGGGCACAAAAGTAGATGTGTCGACGAAGGAGCTATCAGGCGGCGCGAGGATTTATTACATCTTCAATGACGTCTTTGGCAGCGCCTTGGACTCGATCGACGCCACTCAGAATCTTGAGAATCAGGACATCCGAACGGCCATCCGGAACTCAACTGGGCCTCGCCCTAGTCTCTTTGTGCCGGAGATCGCGTTCGACCTGCTCGTCAAGCCTCAGATCAAGCTCCTCGAGATGCCCAGTTTGCGCTGCGTCGAGCTTGTTTATGAAGAATTGGTGAAGATTTGTCATAACTGCACCAACTCCGTGAGTTCTTCACTAAATTGGCTCGCATCTACTCAGATGTACTAGGAACTGCAACGATTCCCCGGTCTTCATGCCAAATTGATTGAAGTAGTCTCTGAGCTCCTTCGAGAAAGACTTGGACCGACGTCAGAGTACACGGAGAGTCTCATCGCGATCCAGGCGGCATACATCAACACCAACCATCCGGCGTTTATCTCTGGATCGGCCGCTGCTGCCCAACAAGCCAGTTCGCCACCTGCACCCCAGATGCCATTACGGGTGAGTGATGCACTTATGTCAAACGTATGACCGTCTCTGAAGTCACCCAGCCGACTTCGACCGAACCCACGAATGGGACAGGGACGGAGGATGACGATGTGGATTCATCGGACGAAAATGGACTACCTAATGGCATGTTCCCTCCACGACAGACGGACCGGTCTGTGTCAGCGTCTCTGCCAGACCGCACTCGCGCGTCAACCGGGTCAGCGCCCGCGACTTTGACCTCGAGGAAAATCGCACAGCCCCGGCCGCAGTCTGCCATGAGCGCCATGACGCATCGGGGGTCGCCTCCTTCGGCTCGGGAGGCGTTTTTGAACTACTTCTTTGGGCAGAATGGGCCGGGGCCGCTTTCTGGTTCGGCGGTTGGCAGCAATCCGGCAAAACCTGTCGGCCGGGATCTTTCCGGTGGGGAGGTGTCGACGATGGCGATGGCCTCTGGACTGATGTCGGGCCAACGGGTGGACGGCCAGAATGCTGCGTTTGACATGAAGAGCTTGGGCAAGCACATCGAGGCGGTGCCGTTTGAGAGCAACCAGCTGACGATGCGAGAAGAGATGGAGACCTCGCTGATTCGTTCTCTGATCACCTCCTACTTTGGCATTGTCCGCCAGACGATCCAGGATCTAGTGCCGAAGGCGATTATGCACTTGCTGGTCAACCACACTTCGAACCACGTACAGAACCGATTGGTGGCGTCGCTGTACAAGCCGGAGCTGTTCCAGGAGATGCTGCATGAGGATGAGGGGCTGGTTGCGGAGAGGACTCGGGTCAAAGCGCTGCTGGACGCGTACAAGGAGGCTTTCAAGACTCTTTCGGATGTGAATGTAAAACCGACATAGACAGACAATCTTTTACGAGTCACGTATTCGATGGTGATAGAGAGCGGGCGGCGAAAGCCACGCAGAAAGATGCCATTCCGTCTAACGTATCAACAAGCACAGAGTAACTAACGACCGAACACACAGACACACACACACAATCGAGAACCAGTAGATGCGTGGAGAGACAGATTCAGCGGCGGGATCCCATTTCGGGAAGCGGAGCATGGAGCAAACAGCCATTCCAGTCCAGAGCAAGCGCGCATATTCACATGCATTTAAGGACCGGAGGGCTCTTCGCTCGGCTCGACGTCGCTGACTGCTTCAGTCTGCGATTCCGCTGCCGCTGTCGATAGGGGCTGAGGCTTGACCGCAACCCATTTCTCCTTCTTGGGGGTGTCATCCGTCTCTTCCTCAGAAGCGACGGATTCCGTGTCAGCATCGGCCCCGCTTGAGCTTTCCGTCGCGGATTCACTGCTCGAAGCGGTGGAGGTTTGCTCAGCCGCGGAGGTTTCCCCGAGTTTCTTGGCAGCGGCGGCCGCCTTCTTAGCCTTTTCTTTGCGCTCAAGTTTCTGGAAGAGAGGTCACGATCCACGGCGATGGGTGACAGGCCATATAAACTCACCTCCTTGGTCTCCCTCTCCTCCTTCTGAGCGTGGTTGTCAGCAGATAAGACACGTCTGCAATCGGATAAACGCACCTCCTTGGCTTCCTTTTCCTCCTTCTGCGAACGATGTAAGCCAAAAAGATAAGCAGGCAAAGATCACGCACTTCTTTTTTCTCCCTCTCCTCGGCTTCCTTCTTCTCCTTGGCTTCGCGCTAAGGAAGGGGAGTCAGTCATGGTCAACCACACACACAGAAGCTGCAGGAAAAGAGACCTCGGCTTTCTCCTTCTTGAGCTTTTCGCGAGTTTCGCGCTCGGAGATGACCCACTCGGCGACCTCGTCGACGCATTCGCGGGGACGGGTCTTGTTCTTGAGCAGGTATCCTTGAAGACCGGCGACCTGTCCCCAGCATCAGCATCAGCATCATGCAACAGCACCCGGGGACAACAGCATGCGCACACTCAGTTCGTCTTCGGGGATGGCGGCTGCGAATCGCTTGGCAAGTTCAACAATCTCAGCTTCACTTAGAATGGGAACGGCGTGCTTGAACGCCTTGCGCTTCGGCACAGGCAGGTTCTTCTGCGACGCGTCTTTCGCCGCGTCGGCCTCCTCGGCGGGCGGCGCTTTGGCTGAGTGAGGGAAGAAGCACTTGAAAATGCCCTCGGCCTGCCACTTGGTGGCGTGAGTGAAATTGACCCACACATCCATCCGCCCGGGCCGGCTCAACGCGGGGTCGAGACGCTCGATGTGGTTCGTCGTGGCAAACAGCAACCGACCCTCGGCAGCAGCGACCCCGTCCAGACTGTTCAGAACTGCGATAGGATGAGGTCCCGACGATCAATCTGGGTCGCGTGGCAGACACTTACGTCCGCTCAGACTCAGAGTCGAGCCGTCAGACTCAGCCGGCGGAGTCGCGCTGCCGCCCGCGGTGGTGGTTGTGGATGTCGAAGTTGGCGTTCCGTTAGACGAAGAATCACGGCTCACCGAGCGCGTAAACGCGGCATCGAGATCCTCAAGCAGGAGAATGCACCTCCAATGCCGTCAGTTCAGAAGTCCGCGCGCATATTGCTGAGAATGACTCACCTGGATGGAACATGGCCCATCAAAGTAGTCAATGTGTTATCACTCATGCTATGCATTCATTTCCGTAAGAATCAATCAGAAGCAGACAGCGGTGAGCGCTTACCCCTTGGAAGAGAGAGAGACGACATAGATATCTAAACCTAGTTCACCAGCCAACGAATGAATAAGGGAAGTCTTGCCGCTGAGAGAGAGGAAGGTTAGGCGACAGTCCATGGATATTAGAAGCTCGGGCGCACCTTCCGGGTACACCGTGCAGCAGATAGCCGCGGCGGAAAGGAATGCCTAGTGGATCCCTGTCAAGGCATGTCCGCAAATGAACTCATCTCACTCGCCTCGCTCCGCATACCACTCCTCCGAGCACAAAAAGTCCTTGCAGTCCGCCAGCAGCATCTCCTTCACTCCCGGCTCCAGGACGATAGATGTCATCGGCCGCTTTTGCCGAGCGCCGTTCCAACGCCAGCAGCTGTACGTGCTAGGGACCCCCGTTCAGGCGGCGGTGTTCGGATATCAAGGATGGCAATCACGTACGTGTCGGCCATGAAGATATGGACCCGGTGCTCGGCGTCTTTCTCGTACTCCCGCTTCGCCTCGAGGACGAGCTTTTTCAGGATATCATTGTTGCGCGCGACGACGCTGATGAAGACAGGAAGGAATGAGCCAGTGGGATGCGTTCGGAACACCGGAGCGCGCACCTGACTTTCAAAGCGGCGCCGTGTCCGTAATCCGGGTAACGCTGTGTACGCGTTATCTGCGGCGGTGATTAGCCCGTGTTGGCCGAATAAAACGGCGCCACAATACCCTGAGCCAGTGGCCGCGCTAGAAACGGAGATGGAGGGTCAACCATCTTGGAGCGCACTCCGAGGGTGAGAACGCACGTAGTAGATCGTATGAGTCGTGTCTTATGGTGCGGTGCGTTCAGAAATTAATTGCGCGTTGACAGGAATGGAAGCAAATGGAGGGTGAGCCGGCGGGTGGGGAGGGCACGAAATCAGAATTTGTCAGGCAGCTTGGGCTTGTTTGGACTCACCGACGCTCGGCATGAACGCCACCTTGCGTTTCCTGCGTCCATGGACGAGGTCGTTATCGTCCTCGCACTCGTCGTCCTCCTCCACATCTCCCGTCGTCGGCTCGCTCATGCCCGTGCGGTTCACACTGCGCGTCGTAATCTCGAATTCGCGGCTGCGACCCCAGGCGGGTTGCTGACAGGCTGTCAATATATGCAAAATGACCACTTAGCGACGCTCGCGGACCTTGGACAGCCAATGCATAAGCCTGGGTGAGGGTATAAGCGACACAGATGTAAGGATGGCAGTGGGGAGGGATACGCACCAGTCATAAGGGTAGTCGTCCTCGCTGAAGTGCGCGGTGAGGAAGAAGGCTTGACACGGGTGACGTTCAGGGACAAGACGTGCGAGCAGAAGGGTGTACGCACAGTCAACGAACCCGTTCCAAGCCGACATGGACACGCGTCGCGCGGTCTCTACGGTGCCTCCGATGACCACCAGTTTCTGTGTGTGCACGGTGAGCAGTAGTTGTGGGGGCATGTGGGTCCAGCGGGGGACGGACCATTGTATCCTGGATAGCGCCAGTGCTCATGCCCAAGGGCGACAACACGTTTGAAAGGTAGTTCATGATGAAGGGAGAACGGGAGAGAAGGGCGAGCCAGGAATAGGCGACCGAATGATTTTGTCTTAAATGGTCCTCGGGTGCCGCCTCGTGGTTTCTAACGCCCAGGGTTGCTTGTCCGCCAGCACGAATCGGGGATATTTAGACAGACGATCATGAATCTGAGATTGCATGACTCGCTTGACTTGCAGCACGGGCTCAGTAGGCCCTTTGGCCGCTTGCCCTCTTATTACGCCGCCTGCTTGTTTTTTTACGTGCTGTTGTGCTAAGCCCCGCGTTCACTGGCGAAATACATTCGCCCTCTCCGGCCCAGTCTCAATTTCCTCGGACGGAGACTAAGCGGTTCTAGTCTACGTGGGAATGGCATATTGGCCTTCGGACGTTCAACAACTCGGGAGTGCAGATTGATGGTGAAGCATTGACGGGGTGTTTCCCGGTATGCCAGTGGATCAAACGCCAGTCGGAACGGGCTCCGGAAGCAAACATGCAGTGACATGGAGACAGGGAGGGGCAAACGCAGTCGAGATTGACCAGAGACATACTCGCGAACGCTGTGGCACTTGTATGCGATCAAGTCAAATCTCAATCACGACGCCATGCTCCGGGATTGCGGCGCCATCACCAACAACGATGGCATCGGCTGGCCCAGATCTCGCGTACGAACACTCCCGCGCCCTGATACCGTCTTTGCCCACAGTCCTGCAGAGCCCAGGTCAGATCCACATGGCTGCCATCTGCTCCTCCAGTTCGGACCGAATCCGCAGCTCATTATCTGTGAAACAAGCATTGATTGCGAGCTACCCTTCCCATGCGCAAACCCTGACTGGTCTGAGCCCAAAAGACGGCGCAGAGGCAGTGTTTCATCTTTGGACAGGAAGCGTCGAGTCATAGAAAAGCATTCAACAGCTTTCTCATCAGTTCAAGATGCTTCATAATCTTCGAAGGCGCTCATAATGATATATACTTGGATCGGGCCGGTCCTCTCCCGACGGCTTACTCCGTTTGAAATCGAGGGTACGCTCTTCAGGGTGTGCCCAGAACAAAACATGAGGTAGAATGAAGCGCCACCGATGAGAACGAGGGACCGTTTCGGGCGGTACCGAAGGCGAGACACAGCTCCAGTCATACAGAAGCGACACAGCAAGAACATAGAAGAAGGCTGCCTGACAGTTCTCGAGCGAACCCCACTTTCCAGACTATCCGCACTGGATCGGGAAACAAGAGTGTCATTTGCGAGTCTACAGAGGCCGCAGCCGCAGCCTCACCGCCAACTTCGTCCTATTTCCTGGATCTCGGTGGTGATCACCATCTGAAACTTCCATTAAACCCTGCTTTGTTATTACGGTGTGTCAGGAGACTCGTGGCAGCAGAATTAGGTGCGGGAGAATCGCGGCTCCCCACCTACTAAAGGGTGGTTGGATCAGCACCACTCGCCAGAATAGCATGAGCTGCGATGCTCCTCGGAGGACAGCAGACGCGTTGTCAGTGAGTCAGTCAGATGCGGTGACACCAACGCTGCGATCCCTATCATACACCTCTGGAACCGTGGCGCACCGGATCGATACAACTGATGTCTTTCTTTGAGAGCTGGGTGCGACAGCCGCGTGCTGGAGTTTAATTCCTCTCCGCAAGTCCGCCCTCTCCCGCTGCCGGGAAAAGATCCCGGGATCAGGGCGAAACGCCGCATGCCGGTGAAGAGGGGCGCGACGTGCAGATAGATCAACGGCGAGGCGACGCGTGCGCGATAGATGAATTAACCTAGCCGTCAACCGCACGCAAGCCACCAGCAGTCTCATTTGCAGAAATGGAAAAGAACATAGGCCAGCAATCTCAAGCCAAGCAAGACAATCAATTCGCACCGATTACGAGTTTCAGTGCTCAGCAGACAAAGATGCCAGTACCGCCTCTCTATCCTCTATCGAAGGCGTCAATGAACCACCTGTCACTATTGCTCTTCTCTCCGGAAAACGCGAGCTTCTGCGCATCATCATTCGTTCCGCCTCCAGCGACATTCAGCGTATGGCACGGCATCTCGGCCAAATGGACCCTGCAAGGCGGGATCAGGTCCCGGCGAGATGCAGAGGAGACATACACAAATGGACGTAGTCATTCCGGCGAACGCTCCGTTATCCATGACGGACTCAAACATGAACATGAAGAACACCGGGAACTCGCACATCTGCAGCCACACGCCAGAGGAGACCTGTCTTGCGACAGCGGAGAGGCGGCCAGTCTGGACATGTCTGATTCTGAAAGCCAGTGCTCCCAATGCCTGGATGTCAAACTAGAACATCATTTAATGCTCGGGACATTGAGCAATGCTGACTGCGCGACCTCACACACTTGAAATGACCACTTTCATCGCTCCGCCCAGGCCGGACCGCCCAACCCGAACAAGAGGTCATATTGCATGCACTGCCGTTTGTTGACATTCTTGAATTGGACAGGCGTCCTGAGCGGCACTGGGCACCATGCGTCCTTCAGGCTGGGCTGCGAATCAGTCCAGTGCTGGCGGCAGTGGACGAGTGCTCACCCGAGTAATCTTTTTGTCGTCTTTAGCGTGCTGAGCTTGACTTGCACTTGCCTGACCGTATCCTTGAACTGCTCCAGTTTCTGTCCCGCATCTTCTAGCTCGGCCGCATGTTTCCGGCCCATCTTCGCCCTCTGTCACTCCCGTCCAACAGTATGTTCGCGCTTCGGTTCTGGAATCTGCGTCTTCATTCCTGCTTCGAAGTCCTGGTGTTCCCTGCCGACAAGCGGGACCTTGATTTGTGTGCTCGACAAATTGTCCACGATCGCCTCCTGCGCCCTTCTCTTTCTCCGTTTTGGCCCTCGCTGCATCGGTGGCTTCTACGACGGCTCTTTCCCAGCTGACATTGCGCACAGCCGGATCACAACACAGCAAGGACGACGGCACGAATGAGCAACTCGCCGGAAGCAAGATCTAGAGGATCGCTAGACTGAAATATTTCCACAAACGGCTCCGATCTTGGATCCTGGCCACCGCATCGACTTCTCGTACAATCTTGATTATCTCGGACCGGCAGTCTCTGCGCGCGCCGCCGAGGCCAGACAGACTGCCCTCGTACGGGATGAGTTCGTTAGGTGGCAGAGTTTCTTCGGGCTCGACCGGGGGGTCTGGAGGGTAAAACAGGAGAAGCGGTACTGGTGGTGCACCAGTATTTTCGTCACAAAACAGAGCAGCAGGTGGCGTAGGTGCGCCGACATCAAGCAGCGGTACTGCTGGTTGTAATTGTCGAGGGTGTTGCTGCTTCGCTGAAGCCAGTTTGTTTTGGTATCTTGTCATTTTAGCCGTGAATCTGCTTTTGCTTTGGCGCCTAATGTGGTGAACCTCTCGACGTGCTGTTTCCCGACCGACGTTGATTGACCCTGTTAAACTTCCCATGCGGCTGGAAGACTCGATTAGACTGGGTAGAAAGACAGGAAGGAAGCACTGATACCTTGTTGTATGTTACACCACATCACTTTGTAATCAATGTGAGCATCGAGCAGCACGGACGAGTATACACCGGCATTCTCATAGTCGAGCGGCAATCCCCTGGTGCTCTTCATGTAGAAGCTTTTCAGGCTTGTGTACTTGGCTAGCATCGCACTGCATTCCATAAGTCTTGAATCTGAAGTGAATGGACACAAACACTTGTGGAATCGAGATCGGTTAGATCGGGAGCAGTGAGCCGTTGTTGACGCGGACCTGCAAAAAAAAGTCGATGTCGCTTTCCTTGAGTTTACTCGGATCGAAAAAGGATGCCGACGCTTTCCTACCCCCACCAACAGCGTCACTTTTGACCTGCAGAGATCCTTTGGTTCATCTTAAGCGGCAGATTCTGCGAGCGAGTGGCCGGACAAGGATGAGGCTCACCGATGACGTTCATACTGTCCCTGATCTCGCTGATTCTATCCATGAATTCGGCGGTCCAAGTCATGTCCTGGCTGACATCGACGTCCACACTCGTCATCTGGCCTGGCCGAACTTGTACTGCGGTTTCAGGCTCCTCTCGGTCTAGAAGGCATGCTTCCCCCCAGTGGCCACACACAGCTGCGCGGTGGAGAGCATCGCGCACAACAGGCTGGCCTTGTCCGCCTTGGAGTTTCTCTGCATCGTTGACGCAGAGCTGCTGGGCGAGGGAGTTAAATCGAGCTTAGCGGGTGTAGTGAGTGACAGCCTGCGCATCGGGGCCTGTGTAATAGATCCCATTCCCAATCGCATCGCGTCGATGTGTGGTGTGAGATGCATAGCCACGGCGGGAAACACGAGCTGGAGCGCGGAGGGAAATTCTGATCAACGTCCGGCTCATAACATCCCTCTAGCGCTATCCACAACCTAAGTATGTAGCAAGCCGTGTTGTCTCGATCTTCCCAGGAGCATTCCAAGGCCGATGTCAAAGGCAGCCAATTGGCAACACATGTGTGACGTAATCTGGCATAAAGAGCTGAAGAAACATTCGTGTTCGTTGTAGAAAGGAATACGCAGTGCTTGAGGGTGTTCGATCTGTGACAAGGACGCTCCTTGCTTTCCTCTTCTTTGCGAGAGTTGATGCGGTGAATGCCCAAATCCAAATCCTCATTCCAGAAGTTATGTTATTGGGATATTCCTGGAGACACGATTCATTCCGCGACGCATCGAGACACATGGCACCGGAAATGAGCATGAAGAGCAGCATCACAGCTGACCGCAGTGCGATCAATGCAGTACGTGCACCGCGGATTTCCATATCGACATACGTTTCGAACAAGCTCGAAGCGTGATCTACTCATATGGAATTATTCTGCAGAGTGATGATCACGTTCCCTCCCTGTGCTCAGCCTCGCCCCAGCCTCGTGATATTTGACGGCCTATCCCAGGTCCTCGCACTCGAGTATCGTGCAAGCAGATATCAAACAGCCGTGGATGAGACGGTATCGAATTCAGCTCGACGTTCAACCCACACGACCAGAAGAACCGCCTGTTCCACTCGACAAGCATCGCATGTATAGCTCCAACGCGGCGATCTTGCTTCTCCGAAACTGGAAGCGATCTTTCGACCGGAATCACGCTATGGTCTTCGGCAGAGGAGGAGAGCGAGTTCAGTTGTGCTGGAGACAGAACGGAAACGCTCCCATTGCCGATATGCAGGTCGACCCCAGGCGGAGCCCGGAACACGGGACGGTCGGCCCAGACGGATTGGATGTCCTGTCGGGATCTCAGTTGGCGCTCAAGCCGAGTCAATCCATCACACCTGCATGAATGCGGCCCATGTCTCATCTGGCACTACAAGCGAGTCATGCGGCTCGAACGATGTCACCGCACCAATCTCTTTGTCCAGATTCAAGCGCATGATTGGGAGAGCCCTGGGGAAGGCAATGTCTGGACTGGGACGATCAGACGGTCTTCGCGGGAGGGATCGATGTGTATCCCCAGGTGTCGACTTATCCGTGAGAGGGCGCAGAGAAGAGTCGGAGTACACAGGTCGCACAGGCTTGCTCTGACGCTGAACGTCTGCATCCACAGCTTTCGACCACTCCCGATCCAGAGGGTCCCCGTATCGATGGAATTCGTGTGCAGTGAGCACAAAATAGATCAGCCCAGAGACAAAGACAGCAGTAAGCAGAATCTGAGGTGCCAGTGATATTTTAGGGTGCAACAGAAAACCGTTCGGATCTGCCGTTGAACCACCCAGCCAGATGAACGACATGATGGAAATAAGAAAGGCGACGAGCGACCAGGAAAGCCAAACTGCTGGCTGGGTAAACAGTTTCAGCATTGACTAGTTTTGAGCGGAAAAGATAAACCACGCACCATCGCCAGGAGAACCCAAACATTCCACCAAATGCCAACAACACCCCTCTGCGCCTCGGCAGCTAACCTGCTCGCCTTGTGCATCTTGCGCATGGTCCCGAACCGGATGATGTACATGCAGCCAAACAATAAACTCATCAGCGCGCAGATCAACGCAAACAGGGCGGCGGTTCGAGTAACGGGATGTGACACTTCGTTGATTTGAACCATGGTCAAGATGGCACTGAGTCCCGTCAGTCATAGACAAGGGTGGATCCAAGAGAAAGAGTGCGCACGAAAGCAATAGAACGGAAACGATGTTCAACGTCTTCCATTCCTTCATCAGCGAGTCGATGAACTCTTCCCACGAGGCTTTGAAAATCAGCAAGGCGACGGGTAAAGTAGGTGTCGCCATCTCCGGATACGGCTGCTGCTGCTGCAACAACATCGAGTACGGCGGCGGCTGCACATTCCACTGCTCCGCCCTGGCTTTCGCCATCTGCTCGATATCAAAATGATTCAGCCGGGCGTCCTCGAACACTCGCGTAACTCGCGAAAAGTACAGCGACGGGATTCTCAGCAGGATGAGCAGGTAGAGCTGCCGTGGGAAGAAGTCCGTAACGACGAATGCAGCGTCGAGAAGCGAGGACCACAGGGTGCCGGACGTCCTTGGTGATGTTGCTACGAGCGTCACGGGGAGTGGCAGTTCAGATGTGGATGAATCGGGGGGAACGGCAATCGCGACTGGAGGCAGGCGGGCAGGATAGCCCGCCTCAGCTGCCGGATCCCACTGTGGGCGAGCAGCGGGAGAATCAAGACGGCTCTCTTCGTCGATATTTTCTGGTCGTGAAGCCTCTCTCCGAATAGACATCGAGCGCGAAGCACCTGGGCTTCGATGGGGACCGAGATCAGGGGGCGAGGGGCTGTCATCATAAGGACCCTCGTGTTCTCGAGCATGACGGCTTCTCGACCAAGTTGGAGAGCGAGACGGGGAGCCAGATCGAGGGTGCTGGCGACGAGCGTAACGACCACGGTCGCCGGGAGAAAGAGAGCTTCCACTGCGACTACTAAACGAAGTCCATGGACTGTATCTCCTGCCCGTGGAGCGCTCAGAACGTGCCGGTTCTTCCGGCGACCTCTCTCCGTTTCTGCCCTGGGATTCCGCGATAGTGTCAGGGCGTTCAGGCGGATCGAACTGTTCCCTGTTGCTCGCAGGGCTATGCTTTGGCGTCAAGATTGCTTGCAGGGGGGTACCTGTAATCGGTGCGCTGTGCTCCGGTTGTGGTGGTGGAGACCTGGGTCGATGTATGGACGCCGGCTGACAGATCGCGTCCTCCACAACATGATAGACAGGATTGCGGCCCGGATTTGGGGCTGGGATCGGTCTCTGCTCCGAAGGAGGTTCAGCGGACATCCTATCTGGCGGCAGGAATGGTTCCGGGTGACTCCCTGTCCCCATTCCAACAGGCGAGTTCCACATATCCCCGCTTGGATTCCGAGGATCAACCATACCGTTCGTCGGTGAGCCGTCATGGCCCATAGACGCGTAGGGGTAGTTGGGACCGTGAGCAGGATGTGCACGGTGCTTTGCATCGCCCGGAATGTCGTCGTCTGATACAACGTGTTGGACTCCAATCCCACATTCTGCATCCGGAGCAGTGTCTCTCCTGCCCCGCTTCCACCAGCGTTCTGGAATTTCAAACGGATTGACGGCGGTGAATAGCTGCGCACGCTGGGGGTGTGTGCTGAGGGTCAGGGGAAGGTAGGAGTAACTTGGTCCGAGGTTCCTTCCCGCAGCCTCATAGCCATTGCGCTGACCGAGTAGAACGTTTCTGCGCTCATCAACGGCGTGAGCGGTTGGGGAATTCAAAGGGACCATCACCGGCATGAGAGTGGAAGCTGGATACTAGCATGTCATTCAGTCGGTAAGTTTGCAGCGATGGTACTGGGTTTCTGCCGCACTTAGCGTGGAGAGGATAGAGAAAACCGTAGACAGCTGCGGGACGGGGAGATGGTCTGTGGTAAGCGCTCCAATTCCAGCATGGCGCCTGGGCTCGGAACTGAAGGATCAGATTCAAGGGAAGCAGGTGGCGAGGGTGGAGGAAGATGCGTCAGGTGAGCGGCTACAGTATGTGCACAGCCATCGCCTAACATCTGTCATTGCCAGTGCCAGTTCCACAGATATTCATATGATATATTCCGACGGCTGTCGAATCTTCTGTTACACGATACATTTAGTTACTACACGCATTTTCACGCCCGCGATCAGTGGTGGAATAGACGGAGTGAGGTGTGAGCAAAGACGATGCCATGCTCATCAGCCGCTTTGATGCACTCGGCGTCCATGACACTGCCGCTCGGGGCAGCCAGGTACCTCACGCCGCTCTTGCGGGCACGATGCACGTTGTCAGGGAACGGGAAGAACGCGTCGCTCGAGCACGCAACCCCATCCAGCTTCGCCGCCCACTCGGCTCGCTCCTCAGCTGTTAGCGGAGCCACGGCACCCTCAAACATGCCCTCCCACTGCTCCTTCTCCCCGCCCTCCAGGACCTCTCCGCTCACAAACAGATCGATGGCATTCGCCTTTTCGGCACGCTTGACGCCCTTCTTGAACGGCAGCGCAAGAGTCCGCGGGTGATGGCGCAGCCACCATAAATCGGCCTTGCCTCCCGCGAGCCGGGTGCAATGGATGCGCGACTGCTGGCCGGCGCCGAGACCGATGATGGCCCCGTTTTTGGCGTACCCGACACTGTTCGATTGCGTGTACTTGAGCGCCAGCGTCGCGAGGATCAGGTCCGTTTTGGCTTCGGTCGGCAGCTGCAAGGTACATGTAATTAGCTGCGCGAGTCCCGGCCAAAGGAGAACCTACCTCGCTGGCTTTGGTGACAATGTTCGAGAAAAGCGAAGCATCAATCTTGGCATTGTTGCGGCGCTGCTGCAGGTGCACGCCGTACACCTGCTTCGTCTCAATCTCGTCGGGAACGTAGTTCGGATCGATCTACGCGCGCGTCAGATATATCACTCTGTGTGTGTTTCAAATCCCGGACTGGCGGCTCACCTCGAGGACGCAGTACTTTCCGGCCTTTTTCTTCGCCAAAACTTCCAATGCCTCGGGCGTGTATCCCGGGGCGATGATTCCGTCCGACACCTCTCGCGAGATGATCTTCGCCGTCGCCAGATCGCACGGCGCGCTGAGTCCAATAAAGTCCCCAAACGAGGACATCCGGTCAGCACCCCGCGCACGAGCGTAGGCACAGGCGAGCGGAGTGAGTGGCTCCTTGAGGTCGTCTACACCGTACACCTTTTTCTCCGTTTCGTCAAGGGCAATTCCGACAGCAGCTCCTGCGGGGGAGACATGCTTGAAGGATGCAGCGGCAGGCAGGCCCAAGGCCTCTTGCAGCTCCTTCACAAGAGCGTACGAGTTGAGGGCGTCGAGCAGGTTGATGTATCCGGGAGAACCGCAAAGAACTGTAGAGATGCATGAGAAACGGCACCAACAGAGATGCACCCGGAGACATGCCTTTGAAAGGCAGGGCGCCGTGAGTGACATAAGCCTGGGCCGGTTTCTGGTGAGGGTTGGCGCCGTAACGGAGCGCCATCCGCTGAACGGGCCCAGAGAGCTTGTCCGCAGGCAGCTCCGCTGACGCATACTGCTCCCTGAAATACCCACTGATTGCCTCGTCGTACGTCGCAGTCATCTCAAACGCCTTCAACGACAACTTGTTCCGGATCGCCTGGCCGACCTCGCCACTTCCTGCCTTCCACGCTTCGAGGAACTCTGCGTAATCCGCCGGGTCAGAGATCACCGAAACGCGCGCATGGTTCTTCGCTGCCGCACGGAGGAGCGTGACACCCCCGATATCGACCTCCTCCACGGCATCGGCAAGGGTGCAGTTCGGTTGCGCAATGGTCGACGTGAACGGGTACAGGTTGCACACCACGATCGAAATGGGCGCGATACCCTGGGCAGCGAGATCTTTCTCGTCTGAGGGAATAGAACGTGCCAAGATACCACCATGCACAGCGGGGTGCAACGTCTTCACGCGGCCACCGAGCATCTCTGGCGCTTTGGTTATGTCGGAGACATCCCTGAAAAAGAGTGGATCAGAGGGTGGCAGAGGCGCAGACCGATAAAACGCACTCAATGGGAATACCTGCTTCCCGGATCTTCTTCGCAGTTCCACCAGACCCCAGCAGTCGAACGCCTGCGGCATGCAGGCCCTGGGCGAACTCGAGCAGGCCAGTCTTATCGTACACAGAGAGTAGCGCTTGTTGTGAGTCAGAGGCACGAATGCAAGGTCCAGCGCTATAGTTTCGTGGACTCACCAATGTGTTGGCTCATCGTGGGATCCGTGAAGATTGCTGGAGAAGAGATCGGGCTAGATCAGGAAATTTGAAAATGAAGATATGATTGGATCTGACACGATCCCGTGACTGACGCGTCCTCGTGATTGAGTTCCTACTTCGCGACAAGGGTCTATTGCTCGGAAGGCCGCAATTATATCGTAGTCCAGCAAAGACATATAAGCCCATTTCAGAGTTATTTTCGTGTATCTCGGTCGTGGAGGATCGGCAATGGTGCCCGTTACATGAGGATTAGGAGCGAGGGCTGGGCCGAGTGATCCCATTGAGTTTTCCCAGTTAGAGTCCAGAATAAAGCGTTGAAATATAACCAGATATTATCTACTATCTGCTGATGTCTTCGATGTCAGGACATGCTCGTAACCGCTACGCCGAATCCAATTCACTCGGTCTAGAATTCACTCTTGACTAACAGCAAGGTCTACGTAGGGTCACTGAACGTTCAGGCTAGTTGAGGCGAGAGGATTCGAGCGATCCGGTTCGTAGAGCACATAATTGCCGATTCAGGTCAGACGATCGACCCCATAGCGTTGAAGTTACACTTCCCTAGAGAGGATCATACTCGGTGAGGAAAATTCGAGTTGAAATGGCGGTGCAGACTGGCAACAATAGCATAGCATTGTAGATCGCGATCGCTTCTGACTGCATCGTTCTGCCTATCGATACTGGATCTGATCCCGGTTTATCTCGTCACAAAAACCTGTAAACCAGTGATTTATGTCTCCGATTCATTGTGTGTGTTAGGATGAGTGCATGTCGTTATTCTCGTCATGGACAGTCTGAGTTTAGAATCAGACGGCTATTGTCAGAGACTCTCCCGCTGCTTAGCAAGATCTCTTCCCCACTCTTGCACTTCAGGATGTCGGATGTGGGGCAAGCTCGAGTCAAAGAACGGCTGAAGGCTCTTCCCATGCGCCCGCTCGTATTCTGAGGCTGAAGAAAGCTCGCGTAAGCATCGGACACGCGCACATCCACCACCGGAAACAAGCAAGAACCTTGGCAGGCCATCTCGAACCGATCCAGATCTGGCCGTGGTGTAAGGACCATGCCATTGGCTTCAGACGAAGACGAAGGAAGAACAAACCTTTGACGAATTTTGCCTCGGGTGTCTGTCGTTCCTCGTATTCCTGGAATCGGGATGAGCGTGGGCAAAGGGAGATGACCTGGGGACTCATGAACTCACCTCCCAAAGCGCCCGGACTTTTAGGGCAGCGGGGCTATCGTGTAGCATTTCATGGACTATATTGTCCATGGCTTTCTGGAAGCAGAACGAGATAGTAAATCACTCGGAGGGGGGTCATGTTCAGACTCACTGCCTCGAGCTGTCTCTTCTCTTCGGAAGTGAACCCCTCTCGCGGTGCTATATCACCAACTGGAACACGTATCGGATTTGCGACTAGCAATGGCAATGGACAAAGACTCACCATGGGCCTCTGCCAGATCGTGCACCAAGCAGAGCATCACGCATCTACGCACGGACATGATTAACCTGAAAACAGATCAAAGGTCCATGACACACTTGGCCACATCCAGCGTCTGGTCCGAGGTACACATCGCCAACATCGCCATCCTGTACATGTGATCCGAGATACTGCACAAGCACGGTGCGAATGAGCGGACGGTCACACTGGGCGCAATACACGCATGCACCTCTCTGGGTTCGGTATCTGCTCCTCGTAAGGTGCGCGACGAGATCTACAGCGCAAGCCGTGCACGCACGTCATGGTCGACCCATCCGGTCCGTTTCTGTGTCTGAGTACAGCAGCTGAGTGGGGAAAACGCGTCGGATGGACGTGGCGGACTGACCTTGAGACGCTCGAGGAGGTGGAAGAACGCGAGTCGGTCGGACGACGCGTCGCCTGTGGATTGATAAAGTGGTGGGAACTCACGCGTTTGGGACATGGCGGCAGAGGATGAGCGAGTGGATCAAAACTTTTAACCGGCCGATCAGCGGCAAGCACACCTTTGTTTGGGGTGACCCGAGTCGGATCGGGCCAAGCCAGGTCAAACCCTCGGGTTTTTTTTTGGCAACAAGCCTTCGCCCGTAGCTACGCGAGTGAGTATATGCGGCTCACGGGCAGACCCTGGTAGACCCGCAGCCTGCAGGCAAAACCCGTCGGTAAGATTATTACGGATGACGCGTACGCGTAATCCTTGTCATCAACCCGGATCAAAATTCGCGGATGCTCATCCGGGTGATCCGGGTGTGACCGAATCTGTGGCAATCCTTACGTTCGTTGCACCTCCATCACGAATTCTACCATCCATTCCAACGCGCGTCCCTCCGGCTCGTCAGTTTGCGCAGCCTCCGTCGAAAACTTGTCATAGAAAAACTCTGTGCTTGATCAGGGAACCCCGAAAATCACCGCGCTTAGCAGATAACCATCTGTCTTGGCTCATTCAAATGTTCTGGTATTGAGCCAGCTTACACCCCTTTTACCACATCATTGTGGCGATGGAAGTCGACGAGACCGGCCAGCTCGAAGCCTTGCGTCTCCGCGTCTCGACATTAGAGCGCGATCTCCAAACTGCGAACGCGGCGAAAGAGGAGGTGGAGCTCGAGCTGGACAGCTTCAGGGATGAGGTCAAGCATATCGAGCACGCTGGTCATGTACGTGAAGCTTGCGCTTTCTTGTGCCCACAGAACCTTCATAGGCTCTAATACATGGGTATAGGCGGCACGGAATCTTGCATCCTATGGACACTCGGACGAGATCATCTTCGTGCGCCCGGACGACCCTGACCAAGGCACGATCCAGCGGTTATCTAAAGGGACGGGGACGAGCGCCTCGGTCTGCCGGCTTATGGTCCGGTACAACATTGACCAGTTTCTCCAACGCCCCGTGCTCCATCAGTGGCTACAAAATGGCAAACTGTACAGGGTACGGCGGTTTTCATTCTGAATCCAACGCACCTCAACTGAGGCGGACATCACACAGCAAACAGGCGAACAGCAGTCCTCCCGTTTCGAGCTATTCTTCGACCTCCTGTTTGTCGGCATGGTGCACCAGATATCCGAGGCAGCAGCGGTGCAGCCTACGGGCTTAGGGTTACTCAAATACATTCTCACTTTCGCACCGGCATACAGCATCTGGTCTGATATGCGTGATATCGCGAACCGGTTCTCCAACGACGACGTGGTGCAGAGGGCCTACATCCTGTGGACCATGTTGCTGCTCGTGGGGTATTCGAATAACGCAAGCGCAATCGAGATAAGCTCTGCAGGCCAGAGTGAAGAGAGCAGATTGGCTATGCGATGGACGATGGGCTTCTATATAATCGCGAAAGCCTCCAAAGGTGCGTTAGTATCGTGTATCTTGTCCCCCCGCTTGCGGTTAATTCACCTCCAGTCCTTCTAACGCTCTCGTACTCACTATTTCTCCCCATGTCCCGCATTCCGCTCCAGTTTTCTGTCGTCGACCCGCTTCTCCAAGTCATCATCATTCTGATCGCCATCTCTGCCAACGTCTCCAACAGAGGGGTCATTGCGATCGTTGCGGTGAGCATTGTGGCTGATCATTTGATCCGAGTGTTGGCCGTCCTGCTCGACAAGACGATGGTCGTCCTGGGAAAACGGCATGACCGAAAACGGCGACTGCAGAGACAGCGCAGTGCGCAGAGGTTGTATCCTGGGAGCCCGCAAGAGGAGCTAGAGAAGGACTGGACTGGTGAGCTGGATGCGGACGTATCCAGGACTAGGAACAGCTCGATGACAGCGGTCAACGAGGAGGCTCCTTTGGAGGATATTCCAGCCTGCCATTGGGTTGCTGCGAAAGAAGACGTGCGGTTCCCAGGTAAGCGCTTAATTTTTGGGCGTCCAAGGCTGTGGCTGACCACAAGCCAGCCATCAACATCGAACATCTCGTTGAAAGGCTGGGCGCGTTCGTGACTATCGTTCTAGGAGAGATAGTCGTGAGCGTGTTCTTCGCAAGTTCAGCTGCGGCGGGAATCAACGCGTGAGTCATAGCGGTGATTATTTTTTAAAGATGTCCTCGCCTAACGCTTAACAGCGAGTCCGGTCGAGCATTTCTAGGACTGATGATTGCATTCAATCTCAACTGGATGTACTTCACCTCCCATGCAAGCAAGCACTTTGTGCATGCCATCCGTCGGCACTGGCTCGCTGGATACACTTTCTCCATGTTGCATTTCCCGATGTGCATGTCTCTGCTCCTTGCCTCATCAGCGATCAACCGCATGGTCGTGACTGAGTCGTTCACAACCAGCGAGGAGGGTGGACCCGGGCTCAAGTGGTTCTTTGGCGCAGGGCTGGGTGTCGCCGTGTTCACCATGGCTACAATCGGGGTGCTGCACAAGAACCTCGACGACCAGGAGGGTCTCCATCCGCATCATGTGCGCAAAGTCCTCAGGACGACCATCAGTCGGAGGGTCGTGCTTGGCATGCGTTTCGCGGCGAGCATTGTGATGATGTTGGTGCCGATCTCCTCGAGCCTGAAGTCGATGCAGTTTCTGGCGATCTACGTCGGCATCACCGGGTTTCTGATCGTGGAAGAGACGATTGCGAGGATTGAGAAGCGTGACCAAGCGCTGGATGAAGAGATACCCGCGCGCATAAATGATCCGGCCACCAGTGTCTGACCTGGGAGGGACTGTTGCTCAAGCGCTTATGCCATGCCATGCCTGTCCCCGATTGACCTTTGTCAATGAATTAATATCTATTTATTATATGTACTGTCCACTATAATCGCGATGTCGGCGAGAGGCTTAGTTGGATGTCCTCAATCAAGTGCGCAAATGCTCAAATGTGTCTCCGAAGTGGTCGTCTACCGCTCATATCCGGTCCACCCACACCCGTAATTCGGACGGCGTGTCGGAGGCAACCATCCCCCGACATCATCATCAGAACAACTAATCACGCGACATCATATAACTTCAAGCGCCGCCCCCTCGTCCTACTAATAGCGCTAAATACCCGGCAACTTGAGCTGTCCCCATTTCCCCGCAATGAAGGTCGCAGACAGGACATTCGTGGTATCAGGCGGGTGCGTGGCCCTGCTGACCCCATGAAATTCGCATCCGACACATAGCACATGCACACTCAGGTCCTCGGGACTAGGACTCGCCACCGTCCAAGGACTGCTCGCGGCCGAGGCCAAAGCCGTCATTCTCGACCTCCGTCCGCCCAAGGAGCAGTTCCCGGCCGACCGGGTGCTGTTCATCACCGCTGATCTCGCGCAGCACGACGGGCTCGAGCAGGCCGTCGACGAGGCAGCCGCGTGGGCCGCAGCCAACGGGGCGCCGCTCGGCGGGTTGGTGAACTGTGCTGGGATTGGTGGGAGCGGGGAACCGGTGTGTGTGTGTCCACCGAGGACACGTCGCTCCGTTCTCCGTTTAGCTCAACCGCGGTCGTAGATCATCGACGCGAAAGGCAATCCGCATTCGATGACAAACTGGGAACGCGTGATGGCTGTGAACGTTACCGGAACCTTCAATCTGTCGCGTCTGGTGCTTCGACACCTGATACGCGTGCCAGCGGAGAACGGGGACGGGGAGCGCGGCGTCATCATCCTCATTTCCAGCAATGCTGCAGTGCGTGATCATACCAGTCCTCACTTGCTTCGCAGCTGGCTCACATTAGGCTACAGTACGAGGGGATGCCATCTACGATTGCTTACGCCGCCTCCAAAGGCGCGATCCGTTCCCTAGTCCTCCCCATGGCACGCGACTGCGCCCGTTTTGGCATCCGCGTCGTCGCAATCGCGCCTGGCCCCTTCGGGACACCGATGACGGACCAGTGGACAGATCGCGTCGCAAGCGGGATCACAAATATGGGTCTGCTGTTTCCCCGGCGGTACGGTGCACCGGAGGAGTTCGCGAAAACGGTCAACTGGGTCTTGGAGTGCGCATATATCAATGGGGAAAGTATAAAGATGACGGGTGGGGGGAGATTACCAGCGAGGTTGTAATTGCGGATTTATTCTTAGATATCTTGGTCATCAGTGCTATTTCCTGCACTAGAATACACACTATTAAGCGCACCTGCGGTAGATGAGGACTCTACAGCTTTCCAGGCAGCCGTCCTGCGCCACTCAAACGAATGGTCTCTCCATTCACATACGGGCACTCCAGGATCCAACGCACTGTCTGCCCAAATTCAGGCGCCTCGCCAAAGCGGGCCGGGTAGACAATCCCCTGTGTGACCAAGATCTTGCGCGCCTTGTCCGGGAGCTTATCCGTCATACTGCTCCGGAAGGCCCCTGGCGCAATAGTAACCACCCGAACGGCGTGTCGCGAGAGATCCCGGGCAAGAGGAAGCGTCATCGAATGCAGCGCGCCCTTGGTGGCAGAATACGCCGTTTGACCGGGTTGCCCTTCGAACTGCCGCATACATGCACTCAGTACGTGTGATTATCAGCAGAAAGGAAGCGAGAGTCACCGCTGCGGCACTGGAGACCATCACCACTACGCCGCGTTCTCCATCTGGCCCGTCCTCGGGCGCGACCTTGATCAGGTGCCGGAGCGCAAGACGCGTGAGATTGAACGTCCCGGTCAAGTTCACCGCGAGGGTGAAGTCCCAGAGGTCGACCGGATGGGGCTCGTTGTGCGCGTCGATGATCTTCGCGGCGGTCCCGACCCCGGCACAGTTGATGACCCCGCCAAGCGGAGCCCCTACTTCCGATGCCCACGCGACGGTGCTATCGACGGCATGCTCGATCTGCGCGAGGTTGGTGATGTCTGTCTCGTAGAACTTGATTTTCGAGGACGATGGGGAAGAGAGGAGATGCTCCGGTGGAGTTGAGCGGTCGAGGATAGAGACGAAGGCGCCTGCCGCAATGAGATTCTCGACCGTGGCTAAACCAAGCCCGGAGGAACTGGATTCGTAGGTAAATTTAGGGAGAACGTCGGTGGCTGTCGTAAGTACCTACCCTCCGGAGACAATGAATGTGCGTTGTGCAAGCTTCATTAGTCGTGTGCTGGAGTGGCCCGGTGAAATCTTCAAGTTAGGCTGTCCGGACGGACACCGGAAGCATTTTGCCGCAAACATGTGATATGTCGGCATCATCCCCGGATGATGATCGAACTGAGCGAAGTGAACTCGAGTTCTTCTGCATGCCTATTTTTTCGATGTTGACGCCGACGCCTATTCCAAGGACTCGGGAAGAGCGTCACATGAGGCTTTCCAATCACTCAGGTTTCCATGATTCATGTCGTTTTGCTTCGTCACCGTGTCGAGGAGATCTCCATCTGTCAGCCGACGTCGACAGTCGACCTGAATTGTTTTTCTCCAGCCGCCTGAGGTCGGAAATTAACACGGTCGGAAGAGCGGAGACAATTCCCGTTCTCGGCAGTTTGAATCTGGGTGTAACCTAATCTCTCGCCAAAATGTCTTACTCATATCCCCCTCTCAAGTCCCGGGACCTGAGAGAGGAGGAAGATGGTGTATGGTAGAGAACTTGACAATGTCGGCACCGGTCTGAATCGAATGCGCATGACATGAGCCACCGATGATGGGCGATGGTGTCGCTCAGGAAAGCGCTCAGTACGGCTAAAACACTAGTAGTCACAAATGGAGAAAACTGTGGCACGGGAGAGAATCTCCTCCCTGTGCCATTGATAAATTCACGAAAGCTAGTCGCGCGTAAGTAACAGCGGGGGCAGCAACGGAGATATCAGACATGTGGCGGTGTCTGCCCGAGAAGCGGCCCGGAGAGAAGATGCTCCGAGGACTCGGGCATGCACCCATTACACTTCGCCTCGAACACCAACCTCCAGGACCGGCGCTGGAGAGTGTGCAACGTGCTGACTGGCGAATCCCTCCCAGAACGCAACCTCGATCTCGTGGATAGCGCTACGTGATAGCCTGTTTTACGTCCAGGTCAGAGCGTTTTACATACCCAGCCCTGCTGAGCGCAAAGACTAAAGCCTGATGCTTAGTTTTCTTTCCCTTCTTGCTTACGGCGACGACGCTCTCTGAGACGGGACTGTGATACCTCTGTCGAGGGTGCGCCTGTGCGACGGCGTCTGGCTGGTGCGTGCGTGTGTCCCAGGATACTGGCTCGGAGTTTTGTAGCGCGGGGCAGGAATCTGTGCTGGCTCGTTGACAAAGTCGTGGTCCGCTTGCACGGTCCGGACGCGCGTGAGCAACTGAGCCTGTCGTCTGGAGTCACGTTGGATGTTCTTCCTTTCGAGTCTGTTCGTGCGCAGAGCCGATAACGCGTCTCTTCCACGCGACCCGCGACCCGTCATTATGGTTTTCCAGCCTATTCGGATCATCCTCACATCTGCGAACAGGATCATATACTTGCGATCTTACAGTTTGGGCGACAGTGTACTTCGTGAGCACCACTCGCTGACGGTCGGGGCGGAAGAGACTAACTCTGACGGATAGGTATCTTGTCGAATTTCTATACCCATCTCGACATTCGTGTGTCCTGCTTCTTATCGGGTTTTCGTGGTATTCGACCGTTTCAGGGACCCACGGCAAGCATTGAATATAATCGGGAGGTACTACAAGGGTTTACACGCTCTGATCCTATCTTGGCTGCATTTTAATACGGCTTTGCCGATTTCTCTCGCACTTTCCTCCCATGGCATCTGACGGCCGATACCTCTACTATCCATACAACGGATACTCAGCGCCCGGATCGAACTACCCGCCCCCTCGTCCGCTACGGTCCGACTCGGGGTCCTCGTCATCCCAGCCACCCCAGTCACCGGCGCAGTTCAGCCAGCCAACATCAGGCTCCTACACTTCTCAGCAGTCGCCACAGTCGCCGGTTCGCTATAGCCAGCCGCCTGCGCCATCTTATGGAGCTCCTCCTCCACAACAGTACAATTCTGGGCCAAGTTATATATCGTCAGCGAACACGACGGGGACACAGCAATGGTCGCCCTCCTCGGTGGCCCCATCGCAGCCCATCGTGACTCCGTCGCAGCCACAGGCGGGGACCAGCACATGGAGCACTCAGACGTACCAACCGCCGCCTCCTCCGCCGGGACCGGAGAGACAGGCTCCACCGCAACAACAGACTCAGCCGCACTATACGGTGCCCCCTCCCCCTCCTCGACCTGCCTCAAACGAGCAAACGCGAGCCTGGAATCACCCGCCATATGACTCCCGCTCCCGATTGAACGAGCCGCAGCAACGCATGTACCCACCGCCGCCTGTTCCGCCGCCCGAGTCGCCGGACATGCGGTCGAGTCGACGCCGCTGGGAGTCCTCGCCGTCGCCCGATCATCTGGCCCCAGCGATCAACTTCCACGAGCTGGTGAACTCGTATCACCGCATTCTCGAGGGGGCGAGGACAGACGCCCCTGTCGACCGCATGCTCCAGAATGCATCGTATGGTGCCCAGGTGCTGGAAAGTGCCAACATCCCGGCCGTCGTTCCACGCGCCATCCAGCCGCAGCCACAGCCACAGCCACAGCCCGAACGCGGCCGTATCGAAGCACCGAGGCCGATCGAGCCGCCGCAGCCGCCGCCACAGCCAGAGCGCAAGCGGACGCCCCCGCCGCGACGGCTCGAGCCGGCGCCCCCGCGCGAGAAGCCGGTGTTGTCGCCGGTGCTGGCCGAGGCCCCTTCGGCGCTGTCCGCGACATCCTCGGTGCTGATTCTGTCGAATCTCAAGAAGGGCGACGAGTTCATCCACACGGTGCCCGGGTCCGAGTCTACTACGCCGCTCAAAAGCGGCGTCCCCCAGCAATGCCTCGGGTGCCAAGCGACGTCGACGCCCGAGTGGCGTCGCGGACCGATGGGTGCGTGCCGTTCACCCGCTTTTACTTTTTGAATTCTGTTTTCCTTTCCTTTCACATCTCTTGTGTTGTGTTAACCATCTCGACAGGGCCCCGCACGCTCTGCAACGCGTGTGGGCTCGTCTACGCGAAGCTGGTCCGTAGCATCGATCTCTGCCTGACACGTTTTCTCATTCCCTGCTTCCTGCCAGGTCAAAAAACGGCTGCGTGGCGAGGCCGGGGCTGGCCCATCCGGCAGTCGCGGACAAGATGGGCCATCACCCGTGTCGGATGAGCAGCGACGGTGATATCGGCCTTAGGCCGTCTATGTTGGTTCGCTTTCGGTTGTGTTTTTTTTTGTGTTGTCATCTGGGGCATTGTCGAGACCGTTTATTATGTATGGTGCGCTGCGGGTCTCCTCCTCGCGCAGCTCGAGTACGGTTGATCCATTCTTCATGTAGCTCATGTTCGGCGTGAACCGTTTTCGACACGGGGACCGTGGTTGCGACACCTCGTGTATATTGTATACAGTAATCGTGGCACGCTGCTTGAACCTGAATCAGTTGCGGTGGATTAAAAGTACAATGCGTATGGAACTACAGTACATCTAACTATATAAGTCGACAAAAAACCCGATAAAGATATAAAAAACCCATCATCGACCGGGAGGTTGGCCCTTGACAGGGATCTGATGGTGCTGCTGCTGTTGTTGCTGCTGCTGCTGCTGTTGCATATGCTGTTGGGCGGCGCCATTGGCGTTTATCATCTGCATGGCGAGCCCGTTCATTTGCATCGCAGCTGCGCTCTGCGGATGCCCCGCGGCCATCTGCCGCTGCTGCATGACCATGTGCTGCCACTGCGCCAACTGGGTGGCGTTCATCCCGTACCCGTGGTTGCGGTAGTACATCGACAGCTGCGCCTGCTGCTGAGGCGTCATCCCGCTCATCATTTGCGCAGCCTCTGTACCAGCAGATCCACCACCCGCTGCTGCTGCCGCCACCGCTGCGGGTGATCCAGCAGGGCGCACTGCGCCGTTCGGCGGGCGAGGCGAATTCACACCATTGGGCCGCAACCCGGTGTTGGCTGGCTGGTGGTACGTGTAGTTCAGCTGCTGGCCGTTGCCGTTCTGCTGCGGCTGATTCGGGTTTCCGGGGGGATGGGCGACCGGGCAGCGACGATCCGCTGTTGTTGGTTCAAGGTGGGCAGACCGCCATTGGCGCCGCGGTTGGCCATCGCAGCCGCGGCTGCAGCAGCGTTCATGTTCATATTCATGCCCAGATTCATCGGCTGGGCCGGGCGCGGTGTCAATCGACCGTTCGGTTGTTGTTGCTGCTGTTGCTGCTGCTGCTGTTGGGCCTGCAGCGCAGCCGCTCTCTGCTGTTGCAATTGCTGTGCAGCCATGAATATCTGCTGCGACTGGGCATTTTTCATCACTCCACTCGGCGGGGGGAGCTTCGTCTGGCCGTTTACATTGGTCATCCGCGTGCCAGGTGGAACGGCAAACTGGTTCGCGCCAGCGAAATTCGGCGTCACAGATTGAGGGCGAGGTTGGATTGCCGCCGGGTTGGGGAACGCCTGGGGCTGAGCCTGCACCTTCACCTGCGGTTGAGTTTGGGCCGGAGTTTGGGATTGGGGGTGGGGTATCGGGGTGGGTACTGGAGCGGGATGGGACGGTGGAGGTTGAGATTGGGGCGGGGAGCTGGCTGCAGGGGTGACAGAGAACTGGTGCTGCAGTGGGGTGGGCGCGCGTTTTGCCTCGGCAGATTGTACAGGGAATACATGTGTCGGAGACGGTGTTTGGTTCAGGCTGGACGACCCATTCATAAACATCGGGGTCCCGTTTTGCTTTCTCAACTTGTCGACCGACACAGGTGACGGATGAGGTGGTTCGGTAGGAGGCACGGAAGGAGTTGGCGGTTTCGCAGCTTGCATAGCACGAGCCCTTTGGATGACGTCTAGAATCTTATAGCTGTAACGACGTGATTAGTTATAGCCCAAGACAACGAGAACTGCAAACGCACTTCTGACTGATACCCCGCCCAGGGCGAGGCGCCATGTACTGCATGATCTTCGTCCGGCGCGCCTTATCAATTTCGTCTTCCTCGGGATCCAGAGCCGCCGCCTTCCGCTTGAGAGACGTTGGCACCATTGGCGTCGATACACGCAGTGTGTGGTTGACGATGCGTGTGAGCAACGGATCCGGCGAAAGGCAGAGCGGTGGCGCAGTCAGTTGCTTTTTAGAATTTGAGTTTAAGCACACAACTGGCTTGCACGAAGTAGCGGTTGCTGTCACTCACGACGATCTTTGCTTCGACCTCCAGCGCCTGCTGGTCACTCCAGGTCGCGCCGTGCTTCCGATTCAAGGCGCATAAGTCCGCGAAAAGCGTCTCTCCGTTCGGATGGAGCACGACTCGGGTCTTTCCCGGCTTGTCAAGCGGCGTGTCCTTCGCTTTTTGTTGCGGCCGGTAATCCAGGAGTTCGACGATCAGACAGCCTACAAGATTAGTGAGAAGAGTCTCCGGGCGTGCGCACGAATGTGCTCACCATCGTAGAATGGCACTTTGAGAGCGTCGAAGATTTCGAGAAAGTCGACCGGGATCCGGTGCGCTCTGATGTCATCCAGAAGGCTCTGCATGGACATCCGTCAGCAACAGACTCATCTTATACGGAAACAAGACCTCTGACCGAAATCTGGTTATTGTACAAGAACTTGGACGCATTGTTGAGCGTCCAGTGCTCCGGATGCAGATGGACCGCGAACGAAGGTGGGCTCGAGGCGTTCCGTTCTAGCAAGTCCTGGGAGGTCTGTTCAGTGCGTTTCAGACACAGGGAAAGTTCTGGGAATCACCTCTGCATGTCGCGTCCGGTTGTAGTTGGCCATTGGGTCATAGACCGTGCACGGAGCAGAAGAGCAAGTAACTGGTGGCAGTGTAGGTGATGAGCATCACGTGCTGTCATTGTTTCCTCGAAGTGGACGACGATCAATCAGGTCTCAGGTTCAACTGGAGTTAAGTACTGGAACGAGTTTGATTAAAAATCATGGCGCGATATTGAATGCGACTGGTGCCCTATGCTCATCGCCAGGAATTACCCAGTGAGATCGTATTTTCAACTTCTCGGTGTGAGGGTCCCGCATCTCGTTCTCGCAAAGAAGGGCATTTGAAGTACAAACCCGGGATCGATACAGACTGAAAGACAAAGGCCCCATCAAGCATGGCACACACAGGATCTAATGGATCACTGCACGGCAGGCTCGTTACGACATCGGAGTACACAGCATATATGTAGACCCAAGATCAACATGCCTCACTAAGTAGTACATCAAATCTCCGGCAACACAACGTCTTCTTCACCAAACGGGAACCCCAAAATTGCCTCATTCGGATTGCACAACGTATTTCAGCACCAGCCCAAAGGAACATCCGAAAAATCACATATGGTGGCGTTTGCAGCCTCCGTTGTAGAGGACGACATGCGGCGGCGCAGATCCGGTCGCGAAAGGCATCTGGAGGACACTCGTTCCTGCCTCCCACACAGAACTGGGAATGCGTTGTTCAGCGAAGATGCGTCAGGTGCACGAACGTATCGCTCACTTGTGTCCTAGAGCGCTGACGTCCGCGGTGTCGATGGCGATGAGGATATCCCCGGACGACACGGTGTAGTTTCCACTCAGCCGCTTGTCTTTGGGATCCGCAGAGGGAAACGAAAGCTCGCCCTGGCCGCTCAAGATGATGACATACCTGACGCAACACACATAAAGATCGATCGACAAATAGTCGGACAGACAAACTCACTGGGGTGCCGGCGCCCTATGCAGTCCAGCGACCGTTTTCTGCGTGAAGAGCGAATAGCTGCTGTTGCCGGTCGCGCCGAGATGCCCGAACGACAGTGCACCGACCGTCCCCGTGGCGGTGCTTTCAACGAACGCGGGGACGAAGGCCCAGCACCTGGGCAGCGGGTAAGCTCGGCAGCGCAGCTGGATTCAGAGTTGGGACGCGCGCGCACTCGAGTGAGGACAGGTTGCCCTTCCCTACCAACGCAGTCACAGTGAGATTGGTCGGCAGGGCCTTGGCCTTGGCCGCGGCGGCGGCAGGAAGCAGGGCCGGCACAGCGAGGATCGAAAGGAAGGCGGAGAGGACGGTGGAAGGGCGCATCTTGTCAGGGACCGGGTGCGAAGGGGCCAGAGCTGGGTCGCTTTATACTAATTGAGCAGCCCTTGAACATGATTGTTGGCGGCCGAACTTTGTTGATCCCTGCGCGTTTACGGCAAACGTTCGCGCCGCGACGATACGCCCGTCCGTCGAGATCGTAATTGAGGGCTCCCAGGTACCACTCCCATCGAGCCCGAGATCTAGTGGGTCCTTCGGCCGGTCGAGCAATCAACGACTTCGGGAGCACATCCCAGCCCTGCATCCCCTCAGAACGCGTGTCTTTTTTTGCCCTTGGCGCGGTCGCGTGGAACGATGCTTCGAAAACACAAGGCGAATGATATCAGATTCGAAGCACATGTACCGAATCAACCGCCTCCACACGCGTGACGCGAGTGTCCACCAAAGAATTCTCGGTGTTTATTCCGAACCTGACACAGTTTTAATCAGGTTTGACCGGAATGTCGGTAAAGGTAGAAGGTTGCAGACCCAGCTTGAGTGGTGCACTCGGAGAGTCAGAAACAAAGTTCCAGCAGCAGTCACATACTATCACGTGATTTTCGAATCGCGCGATTCGATGATAATCATGCGCTAACCCCGTCATCCACGTCCACACTATCCGGTCTCCAGCCGACTCCGAGGTCTCACGACCAGCTGAAATGGCCTTGGAGCCGGATCCTCTCGAAGCAACCCACGCTCGTCCCGGACAGATAGTGCCCAGAGCCATCAGACTCACCATCACCGAAGCGCGACATTGTCGAGTTGATCAGTGGAGACTGCAGACATCTGACAGATTTGGGGTCCGAGCTTTGTCCATCCTTTCGGTGCGTACCGTCACTCCCGCTTGCCTGAAATATCTGACGATTGGTTAGAGCGTGCCAGCACACACACACAGTTGGTCCTATCCGAGGCCCCCTTCCACCGCGCCGATACACACTTGATTCCTCGTCGAGAACCTCCCTAATAACGGCGTTCTTCCATCTGACATTGGGAACCGTCAGTGGGGATCAGGAGATACATGCAAAAGAAGTCCTTTCTTCGACCGCTTTAAACCTGGCGTGCGTGCCAGTGACATGTCCCCACCCGGGCTCTGGTCGTCCAGGCCAAACCACCCCTCTCACGACACTCTCCGTCATGACTGCCTTCGACGCCTCGAATCCGCTCGTCGAGATGAAGAGTGAGTGGGCTGCTTGCATTCCGCGCCGCACCGGGGTGCTCATACTCTGCCCAGTCACGTCCGCCGTGTGCAGCTCCATCGCGATTGCGTCGACGATATGCCGGTCCGTCCGGCGCGCCGCCTCGCTCAGTTGACTGCTGCTTACTGTGCCCTACAGGCTGTACCGTCGGCGACATCGACTCTGGGCTGACGACGCATGGGTTCTCGTGGCCTTTGTTGCGCTGCTCATACAGATCGTCGCTGTATTCTTGCATGTGCGATGTCCTTTGCCTGTCACAACGATGAGTCTGAACGGTTTTATAGGTTCCGATGCCGAACCACCTACCGCGGAAGGAGGGAGTGGCAGGTGCGATTTCTCCTGCGCCTGAGGACAAGGTTGCTGACTGACCACTCAGTGTATTATCTTATGGCTGCCACATTCTACATCATTATCTGGTTCGTTTTTTCCATCGGCGCAAACCGAAAACTCGAGTCTGACGCAGTCGCATGTATCGCAGGTCGTCCCGACTTAGCATTCTCTTCTCACTCGTGCGCCTGGATCCGGACCAGCGGAGGCGGAGGCGGCTAACGTGGATTGCCGTGCCGTTCACGGGGGCTATCGTTTTCTTCCTTGCCCAACTGCTCTGGACGTGCGAGCCCGAGCCCTCATGGAAGAAGGCACCGAATCCTCAGTGCAAGCTCCCGCTGCAGGTGGCTCTGTGCCAGCTGATAAGTGCGTCTGATACAGGCATCTTGGGGCTGCATGCGCGGTACTCATCAATCTGCGCTACTTAGCGGACGTTATCGCTGACGCGATCCTCTTGGTCGCGCCGATTCCCCTTTTTCGATGCTTGTCAGACAGACCTCTGCGCCGCAAGCTGACGATCATCTTTTCGACTTGCGTCGTGACAACGATTGTGCGTTGCCAGCTCCCTCCCGCCTTGTGTCAGAGGGACGTCCTGACAGAGGCACTACAGGTGTCTCTCGTTCATGCCGCATTTATCCTGCGAAACGGCGGGGTCAAGGTGGTCATCTCGGCTCTGGTAGAGGTGCGTGCGCTGTCGCACGTGCGCGGCTGAATGCACCGCTGATTGATGAATTGCTATTGTTGTAGGACTGCATGTCGCTTGTTGTCGCGAATCTGCCTGTGGTCGTCACTGCGTTTGTGAACATGGACCAGGCTGACACGCAAGATCATATAACGACGACGACAGCCACCCTCCACTTCAATACCTTGCCCCGATTCGCTATCAACCCCTCCACCACCATGCGTGACACTGCAGTCGATCTGCCGCAGGCTGAAATTGGGCTGGCTGGCCACGCCCGGGGCGACAAGGCGACGAAGAAGACAAACAGCATATCGTGGGAGCCTGCACTGCGGCGGGAGGACAAAGCAAATTCGACCTTCTCAGAGACTGTCCATCCGGAGACTTCGTAAAGACGTTTTTGTCTGTCTTAAATTATGTGTATTATTGTACTAATCTGTAATCATGTAAACTGATTTCCTTCATTGTGATCTGATTTGATTCGATAGAGCAGATTACAGGTCAAGTAGATGGTCACTTTTGGTTTTTGCGGCGGCGAGCCGGTCCGCGACAGCCTTCAGATCGTCGTTATACAGAGGTTCCTTCTCGAATCCATTGATCACCACATCCAGCATCGCGCTGCAGCAGTCCTCGAGGGCGATAGTCGGCCAGCCGTTCTTCTCCGCCGTGGGCAGTAGCTCCGGCAACTCGGCGCGCTTCTTTATCAGTCCCGGCTTCACGGAGCCCGCCTTGAAGCCTGCGTGCTCTGCGGCGAAAGCGAGCACGAGATTCTCGACGTCGCCCTGCAATACGGTATCTGTGTGTGAGCGCCACAAAAACACGTGCCAGTCGCAGCATTCTCACGCGCATAAGGTGGGACCGGGACGAAGGTCCTTCCAGCTTCGTGCTTTGGTCCCGGACGGCCGTCGCTCCGCTCATGTAGAGAAACTGGAAGGGCGTCGCGGGTCCCGCGGCCGCGATCGTCTGCATCCCGATGCGCGTGGCCGTGTGGCTAATGCGCACAGCCTCTTCGTGCCCCACTTTAGCGTAGTTGGGCGTCTTGACTCCGACCGTCCTGTGTGCGTTTCGGTCTGAGGTTTTATTTCCGCGCTACAGCAAATCCTGCCGCGCTCCACGCACCAGATGCACGCGTCAGCGCCGGCGAACGCGCGCTTCGCCTCCTCGGTGTACTGGTCGTAGTCGGGCACGATCACGCTCGTGAACTTGCCCGCGGGCGCGCCCTCGGGAATCGTGACTGGCGATCGCGAAACCGTGACCACGCTGGTGATCGCGGCGTGCTTGGCCGCCAGGCGCAGCAGTTCGGTGGCGACGAATCCGGTTGCACCGGTGACGATGAGTTTCATGGTGTATAGATGTAGGAGAGGCGAGTAGCTAGTCTTAGTGGCTTGGACATGGTCGTTCAGTCGGTGTCGATTTTATCTTGGACGAACGGCGGAAGCAGGCCGGACTGACAAGTTCGCGATGACGCCCCACCGTGTACAAGCTGACCGGTCATAATTCCATTATGACAGAACGCGGTCACGTTGAATTTGATCCTGTCATGTGTCGCGCCTGTCTTTCCCAGCGCTGACTCAGGAAGTGATTTGCGTGCCGTCTTCCTCTTACATAATGAACCATCGGACTCGAGAAATTGCCAAGACCTTGCGACAAAAGGCTCGCTAGCCACCTGACATCCGGTAGAGTCTGCAATATCAAGTTTAACCCAACTGGGTTGGCCGCCCGGAAAAATCCACATAATTGTGAATATTCCCACCATCCAAGTTGGCCGTGGCGCAATATTGAGCCCACGAGCTCGTATTGAGTGAAAACCACTCGGGAACCGGAGTCGACTTTATAGAGGACTCAGCAGAACGAGAAAGAATTGGCTGGCTGGAATTGTGTTCCCTCAGGGTATGAATGGTCGAAATCTGAGATCTGCCTGGGGAGCTCATGACAACACGAACGTTTGAGCTCAAATCATAGAATTGTTTGTGTCTTTGTATTACAAATGCGAGCTTGTACCACACCGCCTAGATTCGCCCCGCAAGAGCCGTCAGTTCGTCATTCGACACCGGATCCTTCTCAAATCCATTGACGACCATGTGCAACATCGCGCTGACGCAGTCCTCGAGAACAATAGTCGGCCAGCCATGGCCCTTCGCAAACTCGCGCGACGCCTCGAGTTTCGCGCGCTCAGTGATCAGTCCCGGTCGAACTGAGGCCGCCTCGAAGCCTGCGTGCTTAGCCGCAAATGCGAGGACGTCATTCTCGACGTCGCCCTGAACGCGCAAGTAAGGCCATCAATACCGATACGCGCAAATCGATAACGGCGGGAGACTCACGCGCATGAGGCGGAACCCAGCGAGCTCGCCTTCAAGCTTGGCACTTTGGTCGCGGACGGCCGCGTCGCCGCTCATGTAGCAGAACCGGAACGGCTTGGCGGGGGACGAGTCCGCGATCGCCTGCAACCCAGCCAGCGTCGCTGTGTAAGACACGCGCTTGCCCTCCTCCGGGCCGAGTGCCATGTACTTGGGAGGCGTGAGGCCCACGGTCCTGAGTAGAGTCGTCAGCGGCGATTCGTTCATCGATCAGCGATAGTAATGACGCACCAGATGCATCCGTTGGCCCCGGCAAACGCTTTCTTCGCCTCTTCGGTGTACTGGTCGTAGTCGCTCACGACGACGCTCTCGAACTTGCCCGCCGCCACGCCTTCGGGAGCCGCGATCGCACTGCGCGAGACTGTGACTATGCTGGTGATTTTCGGATGCTTCGATGCTTGAGACAGAATCTCTTTGCCAACGAAACCAGTCGCGCCGACGATGATGAGCTTCATAGTGGTAATTTGCAGGATGAGTTGCCAGCTCTGCCATTCCCCTAGCGCTTAAATAACTTAGAGTGGGACGCCCCCTTCGAGATGCCGATGTGAACTGAACCTCAGTCAGCGTCGCCCTGTATGCTTGCTTATCCGGTTAGATTGACGCGAAATTGATGGCTGGTGAAAGCTGCACCCCCAGTGTCCCCCATGAATCCACGAGAGCTCCAACATCCCCATTAGTAAGCCAGAGCAGCTACGGTTAAACGGCTCGTCTTCCAATCAAGCCTGGCGAATCCTGAGCGTGGCATGGGGGTCACAAAACCAACAAGGCCAATGGATGAGTAAGGAAGGTGATTAGATGACTAAGCCTGCACTAGCGCACTTTGGCATGTGTCTGAATGGATGCATGCCCGGAATGACATCCGCCATCACAACTTTTGATCGGGGGCTTCTCACACCGAGGGATTGCGAATAACAGGCTCATAAAGAATCAATTATATTCTATATATTAGGCATAAAAAATTAAGGGATCTGATATGTGACACATTGGGCACTCGGATCATACCCAGCACCTAATATCTAGATTGCAACTTTCTGCCAGATTTTAACATTCTGCCCTGACTTTTCTGACTAAGCTGCCTTTTGGGAAGCCTCAGGCACGTGCACACAGAGGCTCTGGATCCTGATTCATTTCACATAAGATAGGCGACAAACGCATCCATCAAGTCACGTGAGCGTGACTGATGGGTGACAGGTAATGTGGGAAACGCGAAATTCTGGCGGTCTGAATTCACACCTCGTTTTTTTAGTCCAGAACTCTATTACAAGTAATTACTTCAACAAATCTCTGTTCTTTAGGTCCTCCCAATACTGTGATGGAAGTGTCCAATGCCCTCAATATTTTTTATTAGCCCAGGCAGCTTCTGCCCATTGAGTCTGTGATAATATCCATCAGCAAAGCACAAGGATCTGACAGAGAAGCAATGCATGGACTCAATGGGAACAGATTCAAGAGCCTTGAGGACGTTCGCTTCAAGCTCTCTTTGTTTGTGGTCCGAGGATATATCCGGTAGATGCATTTTGCATAGCCCCAACATTGCTCAATGAAGTTCAGCTCTGGGTGATATTTCGAGAAAAATATGACCTTGTAACCTCTCTTCATGCAGTGTTCCTTGAGCATTCCCAGCTGTGCTTGAAAATCTGGCTTGCAGTACAATATCTTCTTCATGCAGCAAGCAGTTGTGGGCTTGTGTTGACAATTGAAAGAAGGGCACTCTCCCCTGAGTTTGCGGCCACCGGGCAGCCATGCATCGGGATCAGGAAGATCATGACCCATGGCACGACAATTGACAATCAGCTCCTTCATGCCTTTGAATGATCCATCAGGCAGATAGAGGCACTGTTGTGACAATCAACCAAAAACAAAGTCGAAAAGAGAAGTGAATTCGAAGACTGGAGAATACAACCAAGTAGCTACAGTATTTATACCCAATCCAGTCTGGGTCATATCTACAACTAATGAGTCATAGGGCTATGTACCGCATGGAACACTGGTCATGGGTTGTAGTAGAACCTTCTGGAGCATATGTCGCGCAGCCTTGAATCGATAAGGATAACCCTGGAACCCCTAACCCAGACCGCTGATGCCGTGATCCGTGATAAGATAAGCCGTGCCAAGGTAAGATAAGATGGTCGATAGCAAGATGAAAAAGGGCTGAATTATGACATTACCCCTCTCTAGGGTCGATGTCCTCATCGACTAGGCCAATGGGCGTGAAGACGTTCTCGTAGGGATCGAAGAGTTGTCGCTGGGGTATGGAAGGCGCTTGTCTTGGGTTTGTAGCGATGGATGAGATAATCCAGTGTCCGGCTTCGAGCGTTGGCAGGAGGCGAATGCTGTGTGTCTGGGTTGGATTGTTTCCTCTGCCATCTCTCAGGACCTTCTTTGCATGGGTAAGGTGACGTGATGGTTCCCAAGTATTTTCGCTATGCGGCCAGCCTTC